CTTCATTCTTATAAAGAATGAATTTTTCCAAGGCTTCGTCTTTGCTTTTAAGCAAATACACATAGCAATAACGTGTGCTATCGTCGATAAATGTGATAAAATATTTATTACCACCTCTTGTTTGAATCGATCTAAAATCGCACAAATCACTATGGACTAATTCTAGTGGTTCAGTTTCCTTTCAACCGATTTGAAAGGTACTTTCGTTAGTTTTGCCTCAACACAAACTTCACATTTGTTATTTGTGTTAATTTGAAAATTAGGAATATGGTTCATGTTAATTTCTACGCATAGAATTATAATTAACGTGACCTAGTCTACCATGCCACAAATTGGAAGACTCAAGCAAGTAAACGGAAGTAACTTTGCTTTTATTCATGATAATAGGCATTACATTGAGCTTAAAAAGCCCATCAGTTACATAACCTTTGCCTACAAACATTCCTAACTTAGACAAAACAAGCTTGTCTGACTCGAACACCATGCGAAAGCCATGCTTGTTCAACAGTGAGCCAGGCACCAGATTCTTCCTCAGCTCTGGAACATACAGCACGTTGTTCAACGTCAGTTCCTTCCCGGAAGTCATCTTCAGAACCACCTTGCCCACGCCTTCCACAGCAGACTGAGCAGAGTTTCCCATCCAATCCTTCTCGCCCTCAACGGTCTCAAAGGTATTAAACATCTCTCGGTTGCAACACAAATGCCTTGTTGCACCAGTATCGATGAACCACTCTCGTGGGTTAGAGTCCACAAGGTTCACCTCGGTCACCATAGCCGAAAGGCTAATCTCGACCTCCTTCTGACTGTTTTCCTCAACCATGTTGGCTTCAGAACTCTTGTTCTTCTTCTTTGGAACTTTGCATTTAGAGGACTTGTGGCCAGTCTTGCCACAATTGAAGCATTTTCCATGAAATTTCTTCTTGGTAATGCTTCCTTTCGGACCTAGCTTTTGCTTGTCCTTCTTGGAGCTTTTAGCATGCTCCACAACATTGGCCTTAGCGCCAACAGTGACAGGATTTCTCCCATCATTCGTCCTGTTCCCCTCCTCAATTCTGAGTCGCTGGATCAGGTCCTTCAGGTTCATTTTCTTTCGCTTATGCTTAAGGTAGTTCTTGAAGTCCTTCCACCCTGGAGGCAACAAGTGGATAACAGATCCCACTATGAAGGCTTCACTCAACGTCATGCCCTCGTCACGGATTTCATCAAAGATTAGTTGTAAATCTACAACCTGACTTAGCACGGTCTTGGAATCAACCATTTGGAAGTCAAGGAATCGGCCAATCACAAATTTCTTTGCGCCGGCATCCTCACTTCGGTATTTATGATCCAAGGCTTCCCAAAGCGCTTTCGTTGTGCCAATCTTGCGATATACATCGTATAAAGCATCACATAATCCGTTCAGGATGTAGTTTCGGCATAGGAAGTCCGAATCCTTCCAATAGCCAACTGCCATCACGGACTGGGCATCCTGTTCCCTTAGTTCGGGAACCTTCTCGGTCAAGAATCTCGCCAAGCTGAGAGTTTCCAGGTAGAACAACAACTTTTGTTGTCACCTCTTGAAGTTCGATCCACTACGGGTGAACTTCTCCGGTCTTTCGGCCGAACCACTCGGTACCGAAGGTACCCGAGTCATGGGAATATATCCCTCAGTGCTTCCACCATCTTGTGAACCAAAGTTCACTGGTGTAGCTTGGGAATTAGCAACATTGTTGCCATTCCCACCACTGTTGTTCTCAACAACATTCTCCTCCCCTGGATTAACGATAGACACACCAAGGTTCTCCATTTCTTCTAGAAAATTAGAGATAAACAACCAACGGGAAACGAGAATAAGGTTTTAAGATTGTTGGGTAATATGGTTGAAAAATCCCAAAATAATAATTCTATAGAAAAATTATTATTGTATGGGAAACAGAAAAACTGGGAAGGAAAAGAGGTGAAAACTGGGTAAAGGTTAGCACGAGTTCGAACACAAAGTTCTTGTCCTTAAAACCTTATTTGCTACCTCCCACAAGTGCTAGGAGCGTTGTAGCGTAGGTTTCCCAGAATAAAACGTGCTACGATTCTGTGTTTAAGCACCTAAACAAAGAACCCGGCAAACAAAGCAAAGCTGGAACACAGATTGGCTAAAGAAGAGAGTAGAAGCAGAGTTTTGAGATGATAAAGCTACTGGAATTCCTTTGTTTCTCTACTGTGTAAAATGCTACTGCTCTACCTCTCTTTATATAGGGATGTTGGAGTGATAGCATTCAACATGGTCATTAAATTTGTATTAAAACCAATTGTGTAACACCTGTAACGGCCACCCACTAAGTAGGATTAAACTCAGATTTAAAATTGGAATTAAAACAGTGTTAATTCCAGTAACAGAAGAGTTTAATCTTCTGAACTTTCGGGTTTCAGACCGTTGGGGTGCAGGTTCACACGAGAGCACACGGACCAGGCAACACGAGAGTGCACCTCTCGTGCGCGCTGTGGTGCAACCCGAGAGTGCACCTCTCGTGATCACTGATGCACGAGAGTTGTGCTCTCGGTGCACTACAACCTCTCGTGCTCTCTGTAGCACGAGAGTAGGTTCTCTCGGTTTCGGTCAAACTCGGCCGAACCAAGTGACTATATCAGTTGGAAAATGATACCGAAGTAGGTGCTCTCGGTTTCGGTCGAATTCGGCCGAACCTAGTGACTATATCTGTAGCACGAGAGTAGGTGCTCTCGGTTTCTGTCGAACTCGGGCGAACCAAGTGACTATATCAGTTGGAAAATGATACCGAAGTTTGGCATAACTTAGCCCGCAAGGCCAGCAAATTTCTAGACAACGTTCGTGCCCGCAGGTGCCGGCGCACGCGAGCTCGGGTTTGAATCAAGCCTTTTCGATCTCTTCGAGTTGGATTTTGATTTGAACCCCCCCCCCCCCACCCCTCCCCCCGCGAGAGAGCCTCTATGCTATACAATTCTACAAGCTTCAAAAGAGCTCTTGTACATAAGGGGGGCAAGTCTTCTTTCCAAACCAATGTGGGACAAAGTCCACTATTTCCCTTCATTTCCCAACTCAAATGGGTCTACTTTGAGAATCAATTTCTCATTCACCCATTATCCGTTTTGAGCGTACAATATATCAATCTTTTCGTCTCACTACGAAGAACCCGAATCCACTTTGACCCGACCCAAATCAGTAGTGGACCCTATTGATAATTGTACCACAAAATAGCCACTTAATATGTCATTTTAAGCTAATTTTTCCAACACTTTTCGCCCCCAAAGTCGGCGACCCATCGTTGATAAACGAAAGCTGGTCCTGCAGCTGAAACTCGTTAATCAAATCCACTTCCCCGCTGCCATAAAACGGATGTGCGGCGGAGTTCATGGATGACGACAGAGAATTAACTCCATTAGCAGTAGGACTGGGACATAACCAGCCCCTCCGGGCTCTGAAACTCCGAGAAGCTCGAAGCAGCCCACGAAGAAGATGCATTCGACTGGGTATTTATGCTGAGCGGAGAAGGAAGGTTGACGCCGCCATGAATCCTCCCAGAGCCGTCAGAAGAAGCAGAGTTCTGCCGGAAAAACGGAATGAAATACCCATGAATCCTCCCATACCACACTACTGGAATCTCTCACTCCCTACTCTCTTATTATCATGTTTTTCGAAATTGAAATACCCATTAAAGAAAAGTTGCAATTAAAAGAACTACAGATTACCAATTGACACTACGGGAAATTATGTAATTTCCGACCACCTGAAAATGATCTTAAATCTTGTTCGGATCACTTTTGGTATCCGGAAAAAACTTTTGTTGCTATTTCCCGACCACTTTTTACTTTCGACTTGATTTAAAATCACTTTCAGATGGTCGGAAATTCAATAATTTCCAGTAGTGTGAAGATCTGCACACAATCTTACACCTTTGACCAGAAAAAACAAATATTTTTCTCATAATTGATCGCTATATTGAATGTCTAATTTAAAATTTCGTTTAAAAAAAATCCATGTAGATTATAATAATAATGAAAAATAAAATAAAATAAATATGTGATAACTCAATCAGCATAAACTTGAAGGTAACATGTTAAAAATGTCAATTACTCTTTTTTTCAGAGTTCTGGGGCTTATTTTGAAGTTATTTGTATTTGATAGCTTAATTTATGTTTTCCAAATAATTCACTGACTTATTTATACTTTATCTTTAAGTGACATCAAGCATTCAAGATTTCGGTGTAAAATACGACAGGAGTATTGACTATTTAGTCCTCTCATCGACGACTTATATTCTACGGAAGTCTTTGCCCACAATTCTCTTGTAATTTGTTCATGCAACCTGTTGTTATTAATACGCCTGCTTAATTGGCTGAGTTGGCTCTATAAATAGAAATGGATATGTAATTTAGAAATTAGAATCTTTACTAAATTATTTATTGCATTTAGTTTGTTGTTTTTCCTTTTAGTTCTTTTATTGCATAATCTTTTATAATAAAATTTTGTTTAAAATAATGAAATATCAACTGAATTTGAATTGACTTTATTCATTGAATAACACAATAATAGTCTAAAATATGAATTACATTCAAGATGAATGGCATTTTGAAAAAAAAAAAATTATATTCTAATTCTTTTTCTCTATCATACCTATTACAAGTTCAAATTTCATTACTACTATTAAACACGAGATTCACCATGGCATCAGTTGATACGCTTAAAAATCAAAAGTAATTATTCGGGTGTTTAATTAGTGGTAATTAATTATATTGTTAATTACTATTATAATTAGGGAATGTTAGAATGGTTAGACAAGTGTATATATCACCTCTTGTGTTGTAAAGATTATAACAGACAATGAAAATATCATTAATCTCCATTCACTGCAATGAGCTTGTGATCTAGTGGCACGAAGTGACTCTCCCAAATGAAAGTTCATGGGCTCAGTTACTACATTGTAAGTTACAATGTTGTAAGTTACAATGTAGTAACAGAGCCAGTAGTACTCAAAAATAAAATCAAAAACTTATAAAATGACTGGTAGTTAATTCAGTTCCATTAACCGATAGATAGTGTTCAGTACAATAGATGGATTAAAATGTAGAGACCATACAACATAAAAATACCAATTAAGAAATAGGAACATTTACGACAATTTACTTCCAATATGGTTTCATGCAGAAGAAGAACCCATGCAAGTACGAGGATAATTCATGAGAGGAGATGATGATAACAGAGAGACACTGCGATTATGACCGCAAACCAGCCCCCAAAAGCTCTGTCATTTCCATCTGTACATTGCCGGTGGTATATATTAGTCATCTATATATATAATCAAGTTCACATAGAAACACCGGGATTAGTAGACAAATCTAATATGTCCAATTATATGAAAGACTGAAAATCAATGAAAAAGAAAAGAAAAAAAAATCACATTTCTGTAATTTTATGTAATTATGAATATATATTGTGCATCTAAAAATGTTTCACCGAGCACGCAAAGCACTACCTGATTCTCATTACCTCCCTTCTCTATGTCTATCAAAACAATTTCTAAATGCACTTTCACGAATGCACAACTTTAATGTCATTGTATTTTTTCATGTTTTATTTATTTTTAGCCCCTTTCAATATCCTAGATGGACGGATCATATTTGTCCGCTCTGGAGTTGTTCTCATCGTTCAGATGAGATCAACACCTCTTGAGAACATCTGAACATGCGAACTTCTTCAGTAATGCATGACAAGTTCCTCATGAATGCACAATAAAACTACTGCACGAATGCACCAATACTACTACATGAATGCACAGAAAGTAGGAAAGTTATTATATAGTTACCGCAGGCTCCAGATGATTCAGGCGGCGGCGGAGGCGGAGGTTCGGCCATAGCTTCAGTGGTCGTCTCAACAACATTGTTTATGGCATCTGCAGTGTTCACAACATTATTAAAGGATGGATTCGGCATTTGGGTGGTCGGATTTCCACCATTATTGTTGGAATTGCCGCCGGAGCTTTTCGGTGACGACTTCTTCGGCGGTCTGGAATAGGGATTGCGGTTAGGATTATCGGTCATATATTTCAAATTAGGCTTGTTGACATGATTATTATGGGCAGTGGCTTGAGATGCCCAAGCTTCCAACAACAAAAGGGCTGCAACAACAACCAATCTGAAAAGGGCCATTGGAGAAATAATATAGTATTTGATGAGAATAATGCATATATTCTCTCAATGTGTTACCTATTTATACCAAAAAAGTAACATCTATCGATTAAGGTTGGCGAGTAGATCAGAATGCGACAAAGAGGCAATTATCAACATTAGCTTGCAGCTTTAACTGTAATGGCAACTTGTCCAAATTGCCTCAACCATTTTAATTAGCACTAGGTGCACAATAAATAAGTAATGTCCTATTTTCATCTACCTCGCGATGGGCTACCATTTTTGTTGTTTTTTACTAGTTGAACTGTTAAATCAGTGAGGCAAATTTCTCTAATCTTAATTTACTTTATATCGATTGGTGTTGGGCGGCGGTCTGGTTGGTCGAGTTCAGCCCCTGCTCGATTGGAGACTCGGCGTTGTGGCTTACCATGGAGAGATATGGTTAAAAATGGTAAATGTCTACCTACTTATTACCAATTGGTTTTGAGTAGGATATGACAACCAGGTACCATAGAACTATGTGGTTAAGCGTGCTTGACTTCTGGAAATCTCGGGATGGGTGATCCCGATGGATGACCCCTGGGAAGTGAGCATAGTGCAGTGCTGAGATCCAACAATTGGTATCAGAGCTGAGGTCATGGGTTCGAATCGATGGCGAGGTGTAAGGATCGAGTCAGGCATGCTGTGCAACTGGGCTGTGTTGGGAGGCGGAATGTTGGGTGTCGGTCGGGTTGGCCAAGTTCAGCCCCTGTTCGATTCGAGACGTGGCACTGTGACTTACCATGGAGAGATATGATTTATAAATGTCGTGGTGCTTTTAAATGTATCCTGCAAATATGCGTACACAGTTCAAGGCATGACAAATTGACAATCAATTACGGCATATCTTCATCTTTGCCCTTTCGAAATAGAGTACTCATCACCATAAAAATTTACAGATTTACTCTATAGTACGTAATTTGTAATTATTGAATCCAATTTTATTGCATAGAGGCTACATGTTTTGCTTTAACACAATAAATGCATCCTTTATAATGCAGGTTTATAATGAAGTAATATTTAGATTAATTGTAGATATTAGCACGGGCAGCTTAGTGGGTTCTTGGGTGTTGAATTGTAGATAATGACACATGATCGAGTTTTAACAGTCATAATGTAAAGATTTCACTTAATGTGGTCGGTTACATGTTCCGATTCTCTCATTTCATGAGCGGTTGAGTCACTGTGATTTACTATTCTAATATCCTTGCAAGCCGAGATATTAAGGTCTTGGTCGATTGAATTTCATGTTTTGTAGGCAAAATAAATGGTAGAGGCTATAATTTTGTTTATTGCACACAAGGAGGCCTTCATTTGAGAGGTTGCCCTTATTATACACAACCACTAATAAATTTCGTCCTTTGATATTTTGTGAAAATTTTCATCTTTGTGATCTGTTAGGGCGTTTGACGCCCTTGTTATTTACCCGAGTAGAAGGGGATCGTAGTAACTACAAACATCAAAGAATGCACTTTAAGGATGGCAAGTGGCAACTGAGATGCAGTTGCTTGACCCCATTGTTATTTTGCCCGAGTAGAAGTTTGAAGTGGTCAATGGTTGAAGTCGTGTGAAGTAATTTTAGTAATTTATATTTTACAACTTATTAAGAATATATTTTGTTGTTTTCAAGTTATCTTGCTTAGTTTTGCACAATGTTGCAAAATACGTTACCCGCCCCCTAGGCATCGAGGGGGCGCCTAGCGCCTAGCACACCTAGGGTCCCTAGGTGCCCGATTTTTTAATTTTAATTTTTTTTTAAAAAAAAAAGACTAAAATTATAAAAATTCACTAATAAAACATAAGGTTCTTCCAGTTATTTCTTACAAACTATTTATATAAGTGATTGTAAAATTGTTCAGAGTATTATTGAAACCATCTAAATACATACAAAATTAAAATTAAGAGCAAAAGAAACATTGTTTTGAGAAATTGGCGGGACAAACCGCCTACGAAATTTGAGAAAAAATATGCGATTTGATTTTATTTTTTTTTAATTATCTAAAACGGATAACCGAGTCGAAAGTTATGCCTTGACAAAGTTTCTACACTTTACAACAACAAAAAAAAAAATATATCGATTCAGCCGGCTAGGCAGTCTAGCTGGCCGCCGCACCGTCCAACCGCGGAGGAGGCCGATTCCGGCCTCCCTCGTCGCGGCCGGGTGGCGCCTAACACCTAGGCGCAATTTTTGCAACACTAGTTTTGCATGTAATTAGGGTTTCTTGGATGATGAAAATACTTAATGATAGGATTTAGATTTTTTTTTTTTAAATAAACGAACTGCCTATAGTAAAGTTATATATAGGGACCATTGGACCAAGAGTCTTTTATCAAGTCATTCACAATCTGATATACATTTTTGAAATATTTACTTTTATGAAAATTTTGATAATCTGGTAATGATATGCGTCAGGATATATACAAGATGATACTTTGATAAATTCTAAAATATTAATTTAAAAATATATATTGGCATTAGACTATTTGTGCAATGGACATATGGTAACTGTAACAAAAGTGGAGTGCTACGTTCCACACATTGTTTACACCAAGTCTTACTTTAAATGGTGATATGATGTAAAGTGTAACGTAAAAATAGTTTATAAATTAATTGACTTTATTCTTTGATTAATGAGAGAAATTTGTAATCACTATTCAATAGTGTGTACTAGTTAGACCTTACTTCTAAGATAAGTAAATTGTATTAAGATGACCCTTGTATCACGAGCTTAACTCAGAATATGCTTATAAGAATTAATTGACTTTACTGTCCATCAATTTGATGAAATTACATCATTATTATTTAAAATATAATTTGATATGAAAGTTTTGGTCAATTAGTTTATCAAGCTAGCTTGCAGCGTAGAATGCGACCCAAGTATTCACTATTCATTCCTCTCATCGACGACTTATATTCTACTCAAGTCTTCGCCCAAAATTCTCTTGCAACTTGTTGATATTAATACGGCTGCGTGGGTGAGTTGGCTCTATAAAGTAAGAGTTCTATGCATATTCTCACTTTTACTTCTTGACCTGACAAACAATCAGTGGTGGATTCAGAAATCTTTTTCAGTGGGGGCGAAAAATTGAACTTAAGTAGATATTTTTTTAAAATGAAACACCTAAAGACCGAGTCATAAATATTGTTGACTAGAGATAAATAAAAAATAAAAAATACATCAAGATAAAAAAAAATATTTAAAACAAAATATAAAACATAATTAATTAGATAAAATAGTTTGAATGAAAAACGCATTATAAATGATTGTCGGATCCACAAATCTTCTTCAGTGGGGCTAAAAATTAAACCAAACGAGATATTTTTTTAAAAAATGAAACACCTAGAGACCGAGTCATAAATATTGTTGACTAGAGATAAAAAAAAAATTAAAATACATCAAGATAAAAAAAATATTTAAAACAAAATATAAAACATAATTAATTAGATAAAATAGTTTGAATGAAAAACACATTATAAATCACACATCTCACTTAGGGGTGTAAATGAGCCGAGCAGCTCGCGAGCGGTTCGCGAGCAGCTCGCGAGCGGTTCGCGAGCTGCTCGGTCAAAATCGAGCTCGAGCGGCTCACTTAGTAAACGAGCCGAGCTCGAGCTCAAATATTCTAGGCTCGTGGCTTGTCGAGCCTCTCACGAGTCATAATTAAATAAAAAGATAAATTATATATATATATATATATATATATATATATATATATATATATATATATATATATATATATATATATAATACTTAAAACTCGCAAAGTAAGAAAACCCTAAATCTATTGGACTTTTTGGATTTTTTTAAAGATTTTATTATTTATGTATGGATAAAATAATATTTATTATTAATTGTTATATGAATTCAAATAGGTCAAACTCGAGCTCAAATCAAGCCTATATATATATATATATATATATATATATATATATATATATATATATAATACTTAAAACTCGCAAAGTAAGAAAACCCTAAATCTATTGGACTTTTTGGATTTTTTTAAAGATTTTATTATTTATGTATGGATAAAATAATATTTATTATTAATTGTTATATGAATTCAAATAGGTCAAACTCGAGCTCAAATCAAGCCCGAGCTTGAACAATCGAGCAACTCGAGTCGAGCTCGAGCAGCTCGAAAAATTGTCGAGCCGAGCTCGAGCATCATTTTTCAAGCTCAATCGAGCTCGAACTCGAACTCGAGTCGAACCACGCTTATTGAGCTCGAGCTCGGCTCGGCTCGTTTACACCCCTAATCTCACTATTAATATTTTTTTAAAAAATACAAATAAAAAATATGCTAGTCCTCTGGCCAGCTTCTTTGCTCCCGACCCCAGGCGCGCCTTCGGCCCCCAACCTCGATAGCGTCGGCCGACGCTAGGACTGTGCTTGGTAGAGCTCTGGCTAGGCGGCGCCCGGGGCGCCCTCCGGGAGGCCTGAACTGCGTGAGGCGCCGGCGCGTAGGTTTGTTGAGGGTACATTCCAAGGATCGGTTGGAAGAGATATGCTGGATGGTAAAATCGCTGTGGACTCTGCCAGTACTGGAACACAGGATCAAACGACCCGGTCTAGTACATTGGGGGCTGAAACGGTCCCTGCCTAGCCATTCCGACCATCGCTGGGTAGGCTGGTCCCTGTTGAACGAAGATGACTTACTCGGGGGTCTGTGCTCTCCCCGGCACGTGGTTGAGGTCAACGCGGGAGTTGAGGCATGACTCGTGAGCCAAGGTCAGAAGATGTGCTCACCTAAGCCTCCAGGTCTCCCATAAACGGATACATTATACTTTAGAGCGGTATTGTCGCGCTAGGCGGCTTCTCGTACCGTTCCCTAGGGACGATACCAAAATGAAGTACAAATGTGGATCGGATGAGTGTGTATGTAGAGTACTGAATACGGGCACTCGAGCTCGGGATCCTATGATAGTGGGTCAGGAGTCTCCGATCAAGTTGTCTAGGTGTCAAGTAGGTAAAAAGTCCTTTCATCGCCTTAAATGCGCGTATTTATAAGAAAGACAAGGGGACACGATCCGGCCCTCCGACATTGGGGGCACGTGGCTCACATGCACAAGGCGGTACCTCAGTCGAAGGAGCTTGCGACACGTGGTATTAGCTCTCTAACAAGCGCCCTGCCACCGCCCCACCGATAGGCTCCAAAGTGGTCGGGGCGAGACAGGCCGGTCGGTTATGGTTGGCGACGGTCGGTCTAGGATCGGCGTGTCGGCGCGATGCGTGACCGAGCACTGTACTGGCCGTAACCTGCCGGATGCGGTAGGTATATTCCTATCACTCCTAATCAATAAAAATTACCAAAACATAATAATGCATTTTAACATAAACTTTCAAGTGGTTCAAAAACTTGAACTTATTATTTAAAACGAAAAATATTATATTATTCCTCAATTTGGTATCAAATCAATATGTGACCCTCCAATTACATTCAATAAGCTAAGAGGCAACTCGGCCAGCATGCATACTTGTGTTGATCATCACATGATGGTGCAAGCACCAAGAGTACTGGCAATTGTCAGAACCGTGGCACCAGCGTTGAGTATTGCCTGTCCTACCTTCAATACAGCCACCACTTTATCATCACGCGGATTCTACACCACAATAATTAAGCCTCCATTAATTTTAACAAGTAAACAAACAAAACAACAAACAACGAGGTGCTCAAACTCTTCACTTTGAAACCATAATATTATAAATTTGACTCTCAAGAAAAGTGACTTATTAACATTCTTGGTTTGAGTTGGTAGCTCAGAGCCATAAAAGCAGACGGGGGAGATGGGCTAAAAATTCGAATTCTACTACATGTACTCCCAAATTTTACTCTCTCAAATTTATTCCCTAATGTGGCGGACACTGATAGACTATTTTTTTCGTGTGAGCCCCAATAAATGACTGCATCAAAATGTTAAGTGTGGAGTAAAAGTTAAGAGTGGAAAATGAGATTACATATAGTATTTTCCCAATCATTATTGTGTGGACCATATTTAGTATACTGTAAAATAATGTACATTCAGTACAAAAATAATATATATTGTATTCAGTAGATGTACATTAGTTTTGTACCGAGTGTACATTATATTGTATAATATACACTCAATACAAAATAATATACATTCAGTACAAAAATAATTATTATTGAGACTTATTATGTTTCTAAATGTTAGTAATTTACTGAGCAAATACAAATTTTAATCCCACAAGTATTAACAAAATGACAATTTTGATCCACATGTTTAATTGCTACCAATTTTCATCCATGACTATTGTTTTAGTACCAATTTTCATCAACGACTATTGATTTAGTGCAAAAATTCATCATGCCGGTCACTCATCTTTTTAAGACATGCCGAAATCTAAAATTTGTAAAGGTATTTTTATTTTTTTCAACTTTAAATCCCAATTTGAGCATAAATAAAGGAATTTAAGCTCTTAGATCAATCTCAATTTGCAATTCTCCTCTTCATCATCATACATTAATTTGAGGAGAAAAACTGCGAATTGAAATCGATATTATAGCTTAAATCCATTTATTTATGCTCAAATTTAGATTTTAATTTGTAAAGGACGAAAATACTCTTAATAATTTCATATTTTAGCATATCTTAAACGAATGGGTGACCGACGTGATGAATTTTGGCACTAAAATAATAGTCGTGGACTAAAATTGATACTAACACAATAGTCGTGGATGAAAATTGGTACGAATTAAACATGTGAACCAAAACTGTCATTTTGCTAATACTCGTGGGACCAAAATTGGTATTTGCTCTAATTTACTCATACCAGGCTGCCCTACTGGCTCGGCCCGCCAAAACCCATCATTTTGGGCGGGCTAAAAAGATAACACCTCATTTTAGGTGGGCTTTTCTTTTTGTGGGGTAGGATAACTAGCTTGGCAAACGGTGGAGCGTTATGCTCTGGACCTGTGTTCACTATGTGTATGGTTGACATGCTATACATTTATAATTTTTATACTATAGATTCATAATTTCTATACTGTATATTTATAATTTTTATATTATAGATTCATAAAATTTATAATGTAGATTCATAATTTCTATACTGTACACTCATAATTTCTGTACTGTAGAATTATAATTTCTATACTGCACATTCATAATTTCTGTACTGTAGATTTATAATTTCTATACTGTAGCATAATTTTTATACTGTAGATTCATAAAATTTATAATGTAGATTCATAATTTCTGTACTGTAATTATGCTTTCATAATTTGATAACTGTACAATTTAGAAATTATGAATCTACATTACAGAAACTATAAATGTACAGCATGTCCACCATGCACATGGTGGACACGGACAGGGACGGAGCTAGAATTTTTGTTCAATGAGGGTGAAACATTACAACAGAAAGATAGTTTGAAAAAAAATGAAACACTTAAGTTATCCATAAATATTGTTAGATATAGGAAAAAAATAAAACACATCAAAGCATTATAAAAATATTTATAACAAAATATGAAACATAATTAATTTGATAAAATAATTTGTATGTGTGTAAAAATCACACTATTAATTAATAATAAAAAGTAATTTTAAAAAACTGACTCACTATTAATAATAGTGAAGCGGTAATAAAACAAACAACTATTAATAGTAATAGTGGAAATCTATGTTGAAGCCTTAGGATGGATTCAAACCAAAGCCTTTCATAGTATAACCCACATTCCTTACTACCTAATCTAACTCAACAATTGTTAATATTTTATGTTTTATTATACTTATACTACAACTTACTATATATACATATATAAATACAATGGTTATATATGGGGTGGGGATAGGGGGAGTGGGGGCAGCTGCCCCCATTGCCCCTATTGTAACTCCGCCCCTAGACACGGGTCCATAGCATAATTTGCCTCAAACGGCAAGATAAACCGATTTTGAAAGAGTTAGTAAGTTATAGAGAATATTGAGTGATTTATCTTTTATTGGGTGTACACTATTTATTACTATAAAGAAAAATAAAGAACGTAACCTAATTAACCTGCTATGCGTGGGATTCATGGTCGCGGTCTAGCTTACCCTTTTCACGATTGCCTTAGAGGATGATCCGCTTTCCCTCGGTCTTGACGTAGCTTTGATGGTATTATGCAGTACAGTGTAATCCAAGAAGAAGACATCATCGTCCCCGTAGTGCCTATGCTTAACATACGCTTTGTTGGAGTAACAGTCGAGACACAGAGCGTAAGAACGGGCGGAGCATTTAGAGCAGCAGAAATATATGTCAGGGATGAAGGTTTTACACCAGCTGCAGAATGGCCTTCCACTCAGAACGATGTAGTATAGAGTCCTGGATTCTTGGAGTATCATTCCCTGCTTTCTATCCTTCACTACCATTTCGAACAGCTCCGGGTAAGCATATTCTGGATAACTCTTTTCTTTCATGAATTTCAAGAAAGCTTCCATGGTTACACTCCTTTTTCCTTGCTGCTCCACCATATCCCAGAAAAACTTATCTGCAGAGGCCCTAATGTTATCAGGGGCGGCATGGTAGTGAGCATCTGCGATTTGTGCCAACTTCTTTATACCATTTTCATCTATCATAATCGTCCTCGCCTAATAAGATCACAAAATTTTATTCAACTTGTTACCATACTATATACAACAAGGTACCAAAAACAGGGGGTGGGGGTTAGTATCAAGGTCATTCTGTAAAAGAAAAAAAAAAAAAAAAAAAAAAAAAAAAAAAAAAAAAAAAAAAAAAAAAAAAGAAGAAGAAGATCGGAGGAGTTTAATTTGACCTTCTTCTTTTTTTTTTTCTTTTTTTTCTTTTTTTTTTTTATAATTATTATATAAGTACAAATATTACAAAAAAAATGCAATAATTTTTTTTTTTTCAAAATGTTATGCATAAAAATTTAACAAAGAAAAAAATAGAATTTAAAATTTAACTAAAAAAATAACATTGGTATTAAAAAAAAAAAAGGAATAACGGTCAAATAAGTCACTGAACTGCACACCAAACTACAATTAGGTCATCCAACTCAAAAACGATACAATTAGGTTCCTTAACTACAAAAATTTATACAATTAGGTCTAAAATGACCTGTTTACTTGCTATGTAGGTTGCGAGTTTTAAAAATAAGTTTTAAAATAATTTTAATCAAAAAATTATTTAAAAAAAAAAAAAAAGAACGGCCGGAGACGACGTTTCCGGCCGTTCTTCGTCTCCATGGCAGGAGACGGAAGAACTTCGTCTCCAGCCATGGAGACGATCTTCGTCTCCTGCCATGGAGACAAAGAGGCCGGAGACGAAATCGTCTCCGGCCGTCCTTCGTCTCCGGCCATGGAGACGAAGAGACCTTCGTCTCCTGGCCATGGAGACGAAGGGTCTTCGTCTCCATGGCCCTTCGTCTCCAGGCCATGGAGACGAAGGGTCTTTGTCTCCATGGCAGGAGACGAAGATCGTCTCCATGGCTGGAGACGAAGTTCTTCCGTCTCCTGCCATGGAGATGAAGAACGGCCGGAGCGTTCTGTTTTTTTTTTTTTTTTTTTTTTTTTTTTTTTTTTTTTTTGTTTAAAATTCACAACCTCAATGTCAGCAAAGTATTAGGAAAATAGGTTATTTTAGACCTAATTGCATTAATTTGTGTAGTTCAAGGACTCAATTGTATTTTTTTTTAGTTCAATGACCTGGTGCTCACTGCGCACAAGGAGCCCCCCTCACTTTGAGAGGTTGCTCCCACACTTCCGTTGGTGAGACTCGATCCCTGGTCATTCTTTCAAAGTTTCACCTCTATGACCAGTTGAGTTACTCATGCGGGCAGATACAAATTATTCACCAAAATTGTAATGCGTGCATGCAAATACTGAATTATATTTTTTGTGATGGTTAGAATTGAAGTTAGCGTAACGTACCGAAACACTGCAGATCGACCTTGAACGACATAACTCTCTTAAATTTGGATTTGAAATGATCGACTTCGAATTATTTGAGTCCGTTGAATCTGGGATGTGCAGTAACAAGTTAGAATGACTTGAGTCTTTTAAATTTGAGTCATGGTTGTAGAGTTGGAATGATTACCTGAGTCATGTTGTGTTGACTTGGAATTACTACTTGATTCTTTTAAACTTGAGTTATGGAGTGTCGTCTTGGAATGACTACTTGAGTCTTTTAAACTTGAGTTGGAATGACTACTTGAGTCTTTTAAATTCGAGCCATAGAGTGTCGGCTTGGAAAGACTACTTGAGTCTTTTAAACTCGAGTCATGACGTATTAACTTGGAAGGGCTACTTGAGCCTTTTAAACTCGAGTTCTGGCGTGTTGACTTGGAAGGACTACTTGAGTCTTTTAAATTGGAGTCATGTTGTGTCAACTTAGAATGACTACTTGAGTCATGATGATGTGTCAACTTAGAATGACTACTTGAGTCTTTTAAATTTGAATCACGGCGTATTGACTTCGAATCACTACTTGAAGCATCGCGTATGGAGTTGGAATTTAGCTTGCCTTTTCCGTTGTTCTACATATATATAATAAAAAAAAAGTTAATTAACTTCAATTCCAATCCTAAAATTAAAAAGTGCATATATATATATATGCAACTATAAATCTAGAACTAAAAATAGAGTTAACTCTACCTAATTGCTACTTATGTAATGTTTCCTTTTTTTACCAAGTTTTTCCCTCCACTTTCATGCCATAAACCCATGATGAATTTATAGTACAGAAATTACGAATCTACAATAAATTACGTACCATACTCAGGTGGCAAATTATGTTGTGAGCACGTGCCCACCTTACAAGGTGAGCACGATTCCATATCCATAATTTTTATACTGTAGATTCATAATTTCTATACTGTTAATTCATAATTTCTATATTATAGATTCATAAAATTTATACTTTAGATTCCAATTGTTGAACTATGTTATCACAAATCAGATAACTATATATTCATAATTGATAACGATATAGTTTAGAAATTATGAATTTACAGTACAGAAATTACGAATCTACAATAAAGATATTATGAATCTGCATTATAGAAATTACAAATCTACTGTATAGAAATTATGAATCTACTATATTTAAATTATGAATCGGTTTAGAAATTATAAATCTAAAGTATAAATGTTATGAATCTACAGTATAGAAATTATGAATCTAAAGTATAAATGTTATGAATCTACAGTATAGAAATTATGAATCTACAATATAAAAATTATGAATCTACAATATAGAAATTATGGATATAGAATCGGCAAGGTGGGCACATGCTCACAGCATAAAATTTTATTAATCTTTTTTTTTTTATCCCGTAATCTGAGTAGCTCTAACTGTAGGAAGAGCTTTAAACCCGTAAGTGTTTATTAATCTTTACAGGGCGTTTGGTTGGAGGGATTTTAAATTCCCTTCCCACTTAATTCCCACCTAATTCCAAAGGCCATTAAATTCCGTAGTTTGGTTGGAGGGAATTGCAATTCCCCCATTTTCATGGAATTAAAATCTCATGTCCCCTTGGTATTTTAATTCCTGGAAAAAAAAGATAGCGATGAGTCAAAATTACCCCTTCCTTTTTTAACCTAAAATTAATGTCTAACAACAATAATGGACATTTTTGACTTTATACTACTTATTCCCTTTCAATTCCCATGTATACCAAACATTGGAATTGAAATTTCCAGTAATTCTATTCCTATCAACCAAACACTGGAATTTAAATTCCTACTTTATTCCCAGTAATTCAACTCCCATGGAATTACAATTCCTTTCCCACATAATTCCCCCCTCCAACCAAAAGCCCTGTTAATTCAGTATTTAATACTATGTATCAAAATACCTTTTCAATTACACAAGAGGGTTCGGAACGTTGCTCGTTTAGCATCATCATTACACTGTGGTTGTCGGCGAAGGTGTCATGATTGTGTTGGAATGTTCCTCCATAAAAACACTCGACGCAGAGGTTGTAGTTATACCCCTGGAATAACTCACATTTGGTGCAACAAAAGTAGAAACCAACCAGAAGCTTCGTGCAAACATCGCACTTACGTATGCGTCTCTTCGTCTCTCGTACGTAGAAATCCTCCAGGGATTCTCCGCCGCCCAAAGCACTGCGTGCCCGCTCATTATAATCCTCAGACCCTGTTTCCAAGTAGTATTTTGCAGCTTTTCTCAAATCTTCCATATCTCTTAGCTTTAGAAAAAAATAAATAAGTAAAACAAGTGTGTTGACACACTAATAACAAATAATTATAAATATATATGATAAAGCGAGTTAGATGAAAGGACGAGTACTACATTTAAAGTACGAAGTTATGAGTATTCAAGAAGTTTAATTTTAACTAACAATAAAAGTATAAACGAAAGAAATAAATTAAAGAGCAGAGAGTTTGATCTTACCTGCTTGATCGAAGATCAAAAGGGTTTTGGTGGGAATTGGGAGGGCAATAGGCGGGTTTATATAGGACTTGCTTTGACAAAGAAACTGGAGAATTGAAGGTGCTCTGCATATATCACATGCGATAGCATCTTTCACATGAAAGGGAAAGTTGAGAATTATTGTACGGAGTGAGGTGAGCTTTATAGTTGATACCAGTATGTAGGGTCTCCCTCATTATTGTGGTTGAGTATTTGTCGGTCAATCACCTTTTGTTAATCACGGTTCGGTCAAATTATATCGTGCACTGACGAAAAGGGAAAAACTGAACGTGAAAAAGGAAAAGTTTAATGCATTGTTTCATACGTTGTTGCGTAAGTTACAGCTGGAGGGAAAATGGCTATATCTATATACAAGAAGCACATGGGGAAGAACGGTTGAAACAGAATAGAAATGGAAAAGGACTTTAGTGCCCCTCTTGAGTTTTGTCCTCAATGCCCTTCTTGGCTTCGTCTTTCAACACCCCCCCCCCCCCCAACCCCCACCCCCAATAAGTTGGCACATGCATATCCTGAATGTCCAACTTAGAGGAGAAGAATTTGAACAGAGTAATGGGAAGAGGCTTTGTGAAGCCGTCTGCAACTTGGTTTGAGGACGAGATAGGTAGGAGCTTGATCAAGCCGTTAATACTTTCTCCATATCCAAGTGGCAATCTATCTCGATGTGCTTCGTCCTTTTGTGAAAGACTTGGTTCTCTGCTATAGCTACTGCTGACTTACTATCGCAGAATACGGCTGCTGCTCTTTGCATAGGTATTTGTAAGTCTGATAGTAAGTATGTGATCTATTGAACTTCACAAACAGTAGAGGCAAGCGCTCTGTATTCTGCCTCGGAGGATGAACGTGAGACTGTCACTTGCTTCTTTGATTTCCAAGAGATAATAGCGGAGTCGAGAAAAATGCAATAGCCTGTTATAGAGCGTCGTGTTTCGATACATGAGGCCCAATTCGAGTATGAGAAGACATTGAGTTGCAAGTCATCCCCTTTGGCGTAGAACAGCCCTTGCCCAGGCGCACTTTTGATGTACCGGAGGACTTTATGGGCAGCACTCATATGTTTATCGGTTGGGGCATCAATGAACTGGCTCAGTTGATGTACATCATATGTGATATCTGGCCTAGTGGCGGTGAGGTATAAAAGTCTACCAATGAGCCTTCTGTAACTACTAACATCGCTGAGTAACTCCCCATCACTATGCTGTAAATGGTAGCCGGGCACCATTGGCGTGTTGGATTCAAGGAATCCTGCATCGGAGAGGATGTCAAGGGCATAGTTTCTTTAATTTGTTTATTCTTTTGAAGTGGACTTTATGTTGCGAAAATATTCGAATATTATAATAATAATCAGACGAAAAATGATTATTATTTTTTTGGAAAAATCTAAAAAAAAATTGGAAAAAAATAACCACAGGGACGAAGGGATATTTGGGTAGGTTTTAGTACGATTGGAAAGGATTATTATTCTTTTGGAAAAAAATAACCACAAGGATATGTTTTATTACGAGTGGAGCATTGCGGCCTGGGGAAAAAAATGTACAGCTCGACGAACTAGCATTGTCCATTACCTAAGAATTCAATAAGCCTTAGAAAAGTTATTGTATAAATAGTGGTGCAAACCCACTTTCCAAACCAATGTGGAACAAAAGTTTCTTTATAGTCGGGGACACTATGATCTGATGACCCGTGGTGGTTTGCATCCCCGATTGACTAGGCAGCTACGAATGGACACTATGATCTAGTCAGGGAAAGTGAACTCAATCATTATTGTGTGGACCATATTTTGTATATTCGTCGCCTCACCTCACTCCGTAGAATTCGTCGCCTTGAGACTGTATAGGATGATGAAGCACAATTTCACGATGTTGCCAAGCTCACCTCACTCCATAGAATTCTCAACTTTCCCCTTTTTTTAAAACCTGGAATGACCGTATTGCCCACTGAATTAAACAAATTAAAAGATTTCGGTGACAATTGGCAAGCAAATTGATCTGATAGACCAAAATTAGTTTAAAAAATACGGAGTAATAGTTAAGATACTCAATTGTTAGTTTTTAAACTCGTGAATTGAAATTAACAAGATCCCAATAATCATATGACTAAAGGTTTAATTTATATATATATATATATATATATATATATATATATATATATATATATATATATATATATATATATATATATATATATATATATATATATAGGGATGCACTCAGGTGCGAATAAGTGCTTAGGAGGGAAATGCGAACGAATCAGCACGTGACACGTGTCCAGATCTAATAACTTAAAAAAAAAACGCGGTGGCATTTTCGTAAATAATTGAACATCGAAGTGCAAGTAAAATCACTTACAAGTGCACCTACTTTCACCTATAAGTGCATGTAATTTTGCCTTGTTAGCATTCACTTTCCGCAAACATTCATGCACCTGGGTGTGCTTATAACTATATGTGCAACTATTTATAACTATAGGTGCAACTACTTATAACTATAGATGCACCTACTTTCACCTATAAGTGCATGTAATTTTGCCTTGTTAGCATTCACTTTCCGCAAACATTCATGCACCTGGGTGTGCTTATAACTATAGGTGCACCTACTTTCACCTATAAATGCATGTAATTTTGACTTGTTAACATTCATTGATCTGAGTTCAGCGGGTAGTAATACCCCTGAAAACCACTCGCAAACATTCATACACCTAGGTTCAACTACTTATAACTATCTGTGCAACTACTTAGAACTATAGGTGCAACTAAGTATTGATGCTCAATGTAAATTTTTACTTGCACCTATAATACATTTTACATGCATTTGTAATACATTTTACTTGCACTTCGATGTTCAATTATTTACAAAAATGCCACCGCGTTTTTTAAAAAAATCAGTGTTTCTCATCTATTAGATCTGGACACGTGGACGAACAGAATTCATTCTTATTTCGCGCCTGGGCGAAGCGTTCGCACCTGAGTGCGATTCTATATATATATATATATATATATATATATATATACACACACTTTACAAAGGAGAAGGTGGCATTAACTGCTCGGGATAAATGCTCTCCACCAACTCAATTCAACAGCATTGAATGCCAACTGAAAGGGAAGAGGAATGAAAGAAGCTTGTCAAAAAGAACAAGAGGAAGAAAACTTGTAAACATGAACAAGAGGGAGAATTAAAGAAATTTTTAGAAATAGAAATTAGAAGTCAAGAAAAAAAAAATAGAAGTCAAGAAAGGCAGCGTAACTTTCCAACCAGTCCCCACTTACTCCGTACATAAAATGCTCTAGATTCCTCCCAAATGCTCTGTTGGATCGCGATATAGGAATCCTTATGGTTGAGATTCAGCCTTTTGAAAAAATAAAATGCTCTAGACTATAATATTACAATAGTGCCAGATTACGCGCTAATCATTTGTTTCCCCAATATGAGCCGCCTTTGACTATTGGTCATCCTAGTAGACTTTGTTTTCTACTTGAGTACGTGGTGTCGATCTTGGATTATCCATTTTGTGATTGAGTAACATGACTATAATATTTTTAAATGGGAAATTCTATTTGCAGAATCCTATTTGCTATTTACATCACCCATTTAATATGTTTAATAATTTTATAGGTGTTGCAAATCGAAAAGTACTATTTACAAAACCTCATTAAATGTAGACAAATATTAATATTTATTATTTTTATTTAATAATCAAACTATTAATTAAAAAAAAAAAATTTCTCCTATGAAAAGGCAGTGAGCTGTCTTCTCACTGGATAAGGCAACCCAGGTAGAAGGCTACACGGGTCGCCTTCTCCGGTGAGGAGGCAGCCCCTCGCTTTCTCACCGGAGAAAAGAGAAGAAGAAGCTTGCATTTGCTCGAATCTTGGTGGATATTGATTGTTCCGTGGATCTACCTGAACACATTACCGTCAAACTCCTAGATGGCAACACTTTTGAGCAACCTATTTCAGATTATCAATGTGCGGTGATTAAGGTGCGTCAGTTTTGTACTTAAGGTGCATGAGTCTTGTGGGTTAAGGTGTGTGAGTTTCATGCTTAAGGTGCGTGAGTGTGTACTTAATATGTGTAGTTGTTGAAACTTAAAGTGCATGAGTTTTGTGCTTAAGGTGCGTGAGTTTTTTACTTAAGGTCCGTAAGTCTTGTGCTTAAGGTGCGTGAGTTTTGCGCGCGCGCGCACACACACACACACACACACACACACACACACACACACACACACACACACACACACACACACACACACACACACACACACACACATATATATATATATATATATATATATATATATATATATTAGAAACGGACCCGAATCAAACCAACCCGAGGAAAAGTGGAGGTGACCCGGTGGACGACCCAGCTTGGGGCGCCTCAACCCGAGAAGGCCTTAGCTTGGGGCGACCTCAGCCCGGGGTGTCCCGGCGGGAGGCGAATTTAACCTGGGGTGCCTTGGCTAGAGGTGGCCTTGACCTGGGGTGCCTTGACCTGGGCCCATGACTAGAGGCGACTTCAGCTTGGGGTGTCCTCGGCCCGGGGTGTCCTTGGCCTTGTGCGCTACACGCGCGGACGCAGTTAAAAGGAGATCTAACCGCCCACCTTATTCTCATGGGGGCGGTTAGGAGGAAGCTTAGTATAATTTAATGCATTATTATTTTGTTTAGGACAACGACTCACATGTTCAATCATTACAACTACTTGTAATTTTCTTACAAAACTATTATTAATACAAGAATTGTCCCCCTGACTCTTATTCCTTGTCTTTTCTCATTTTATTATCCATTTACATATTCTTTATATATCCAGTTTAGTAATTCGGACTATCCGGGTTATTAATTAAATCCATATATATATATATATATATATATATATATATATATATATATATATATATATATATATTTTAATATTAATGAAATTGACATGTCATTTTTCTCATATTTTTTAGCCATTGATCATCCTAGATGAAAGGATAAGATTAGTCCACACTTTTGTATATATTGGTAGAATCAGATTCAAATGAGAATTAAGATTTCCGAGTATTTAATTAGTTTCATATCTTCATCTAGGATAATCAATGACTCAAAATATTTTTTTAAAAAATGATGACATTTATGTAATTATTATGGTACATAGGATCACAAGACATGCGTTATCTAAAATACACATTCAATAATAGAAATAATTTTCCCATAAATCAATGAATAGTTTTAAGAGCCTATTTTTTTTTTTTTACTGTAAATCAATTAATACTCGATCGGATCCGCGTCGTATTTGATTGATCACACATTATCATGCATGGAGGGCTGCCCATGACAAGGCGAGTTACAGTACCAATCCTTATACATGGATCAGTGTTCACAATTCAACGTAGACACTGGTGCATTTGTATGTGTCTTATGTTGTGAGTTTTTATGTTTTATGTTATGAAATTTTATACTTTAAGAGTATGAATTTGGTATCTGAAATAAATTAGTAATTATATTTTGAATTTCTGTGCGCTGAAATTCTGTTTCTATAAACACAAATTATGTACTTAAATCAGATATGAAAAATAAATAAATATGTAACATGTGTATGTGTCTTGTATTGTGATTTTTTGTATCGTGTTATGAAATTCTATATTTTACAAGTACGATTTCTATACATCGTCGTTTTGATCTAGGGTCCATAATGTTACGTGGATCCTGGCCCATGACGTAAATTACGTTACGGTACAAGCGCCGACGGCTAGTTGAAGTGTTGTCCATGCAATATTTTGTTTTTCCTAATTGAAACACACAAAATGGTCGTGTTATATACTAAGCTAAGCGAAAGGAAAAGTTGCATTTTTCGTCTCTAAACTATAGGTTAATTGTAGAATTCGTCTCTATTTGTTGGCTGCGCTCATTTTTCTCCCCTAAACTATAAATGGTATTTCAAATTTCATCCTATTTCTATGCCAATTGCAGTAAAGTTCGCAACTGCATTATTTAAAAGTGTGCGTTCTAAGTGAAAATCATATTGTAACCTTAGCTGGTAAATTATCCTAATAAGATGAATTCTTTTAAATTGTTCATAATTTATCAATTTAAAAGAAGACAAATGAATAATTATTATAAAAAATCAAACTTACAGTCTGTGGAGTGTGGACAAACTCCATTATTGGAGCTTAAAAGTCAACATAAACATTGATTGTGTCGCGATGACAAAGGACAAATGTTAGGCACTGTAGGGT